TCGTGTGCATCACTGGAATTTGATATTTCTTTGGACGTTTTCGTTTGTTATCTTATTAAGTTGTTGAGTTTGTCGTTGTTATTGTTATACCTTGTTATTGATTGTTATTGTTATCAACTGCTTGCGCAAAATGCCCAGTAGTACAGATACTGCCGATGAAGTTGTAAACTCCTGTAGTCCACCTAGGAAACGCTCTAAACAAAAAAAACACCTGAGTGCAGAAATGAAAGAGGTCATTTTGAATATATATAAGATCGAGCGCTAGGAGAACGAGGCATCAACCATCAAAGAAATTGTTGTGAAGGTTTCTCACAAAGTTGGGGTGTGTCGCGCATCAGTGTTTAATGTGTTAAGACAATACAAAAAAAATCACACCTTTTCTGAGCCAATGACCAATAAACATCGCAAAAGTATTGTTAAATCATTGGATGAAGCTGATAAGCATGCGATTAGGAGGAAAGTGCATGAATTCTTCTTTAGGAATGAAATACCTACTATAGATAAAGTACTGCAGGAGGTAAATGGAGATACAAAGTTGCCAAATTTCAAACGATCAACTTTCCATGCGTTACTGAAGCATTTAAATTTCAAATGGAAAAAACGGGGTCGTAATAGTTTACTACTGGATAGAGAAGAAATTGTGCTATGGAGGAGGGATTATTTAACAAAAATTGGGAAATATAGAAATCAAAACAGGAAGATTTATTACCTTGATGAAACGTGAGTAAACGCAGGACACACTACAAGTAAAGTATGGGTTGATGATTCTGTAACTTCATCCAGGAGGGCCTTTCTAGATGGACTGTCCACCGGATTAAAAAATCCAGCAGGTAAATACGAGTAATAGACAACAATCGGATGTTTTTCAAACCTTGGGAACAAGGTTCTAAACATTAATTCCAGGGGGCAGATAAAACATATTACAAGTAACAAAACTTTTATAACTTTCGATAAAATGCGTGGATGTTTTATTGTCATTTTCATTTGTTAGAACTTTTTTAAGCCATGTTTTTATGTGTTTTCGATATTTCAATAATTTTTTAATATAATCTTAAAAAATGTCGAATATTATAAACTTAAAAAAAGTTACTAAGTTTTATATTGTGTACCGTTCCTAATATTTCTAATCATTTTAATTCATACTTTAAGCTTTATAAAGTTATAATTTGTTAATATTAATATTTGCGCGTATTTTAGGTTCCTGATCATTCATTTTTTAAAGGTTTATAACTTTAAATTAAATTGTGAAGCATTGAGTAATCATACGACGTTCAATATTCTTTCTTTCAATATGACTAAATAATCCCAATTATAGCAATCTGATACTCATGTCTCAATGTTTTTTCGCTGAATGTGATGAAAACATTTGAAAAAGGTTCGCTTATTGAAATAAATCTACACCAGTTAGTACTTCGATTTCCAGGTAAAGGGAAAAGGCTCATTATCTGCCATATTGGCAGTGAGGATGGATTTGTTGTTGACGGTCTGTGGTGCTTTGAGTCTAAGAAAACTGGAGATTACCACGAGGAAATGAATGGCGAATCGTTTGAACAGTGGTTTTCAAAAATTTTACCGAACTTAGAGGAAAACGCAGTAGTTGTGTTGGATTCTCGAAGAATGGAGAAGGTCCCAACAACGGCTTCAAGGAAAGTTGATGTTCAAAATTGGCTCCGCTCGAAAAATATCAACTTTGAAGAAGCAATGCTGAAAGTACAATTATTAAGAATTGTCAAGGATCACAAGGCGGAATATCAAAAATACGCCATTGACGAAATGGCAGCAAGTCAAAATAAAACTGTGCTCCGTTTACCTCCATACCATTGCGAGCTCAATCCCATTGAGCTCATATGGGCAGAGGTTAAAAATTATATAGCTAAGCACAATACAACTTTTAAATTTTGTGACCTCAAAGGACTTTTCAAAGAAGCACTAGAATTAATAACAGCGCAAAAATGGGAAAACTGTATTAAGCACGTGAAAGACAAAGTTAAAAAGAGAATGTGGGAACTGGACAATATTTTAGAGGAACAAGTCGAGCCATTCATTATTGACGTTGGTGCTTCAGGCAGTAGCGATGACGAAAGCTCATCAAGCTCATCTTTCCAATAAAAGTTGTCGTTCATCAAATTCGGTTATAAGTAATATATAAGTATAATAAGTAATATAATAACTAATTATAAAGCTACTGTATTTTTTAATTAATTATTGACATTTTTAAACCCATTTTGGCAAAACCTATTCAAGAATCTACTTTCTGACAATGTTCAACCGTGTACATTTTTTTACGCTTTGAACGTTTTAATTTGGTTACATATTTACCTAGAAATCAAAAAATATACTAATCAATATTCTAAAAGCAATTTTAAGAGATATACGAATATTTTTAATTTAGGCTAATTTAAACGCCATTTTGAGATTATATTCGACTGTATTTCACCAAACATCAGGCGGCATCCGAAGCTGGAAATCGAAGCGAAAATTTTGAAACCCTTATGTATATTTACATCATTATATATTTCTTACCCCACCCCCACATGATCCTATATCCATCACCAATCGTATACACATCGAATTGTGCTAATTTACTACAAAGTTACGCAAAGCAGCATCTACTATCTAAAATATGTACTGCGTGACTCTTAATACGTCCCTGCCGAATGTTACAGCGTTCGATGATCACGTGGTCTTGTTTATGTCTGGTCTATCTCTTATCTGAATATACTGTAGATACGCAGTGCTGAGATACTTAGTTCCATCCTTATCATGAAGATGTATGGAAACGACAAGTACGTCTCAGGAGTTAATATTAAATATTAATTAAAATGAATCATTTCTTTCGAAGTTCAGTTTGACAAGAAGATCGAGGGTATATTCCGGCCATATGTCATGATCTCGTGCTGAATTATGATCTGCTCAGCAGAGTTAATGGTAAAAGTTCCTTCTGTGCGACCCAAATTCAAATGGGCTGTCCTACTTTAGGGCGATACGATGCTGATGACACCTCGAGGGGGAGAATTTTCTACCTCCATTACTCCCGATGAATTCTTGATTGCACTTGAGACATTTTTTAATCGACACTGCCTCTCCAAGGGGATCGTTTTTATAAGCATGTTGTTCTTACATAACTTGTAATAAAAAAAATAACAAAAACAATAATTTTCAAAAGAAACACAGTTGAATTTCTATTCGCTCAATTCAAAGGATGTAACGAAAATTGTACAAAAGTCAGTGGCGTTCATTTTTTGTCACATATACTAAGTGACATATAAATCCGAACACCCAGTTTAAATGGTTTTATTTTACTAAAAGTTGGTGAATGTATTTATCTTACTGTAAATAACAAGTGAAAAAATGTTCAGCCTTATCAGTTGGACATTCCGGTTTTTATACTGCTTTTTTTTAATTCACTAACGCTCTAAAAATGAATATTTCAGCCGCAGTAAAGAATCAACGTTGGCGGATTTTGGTTCTTGACATCCTTTACGATCGGTTACGATGCCTAGAGTACGGAGACCTGTACGATTTCGTCAACTTAGCGAGTTTGATAGGGGCCGTATAGTGGGACTTCGGGAAGCTTTTTAATTCTATTTTGACTTTATCCACTACTTTTAACAGTTTACTGCCTATACAGGGTGGCCCATCCTTGCGTGGACGGAATATTACTCATTAACAAATACATTTTGGATAAATTTATTTATGGGATGTTATACATGACATTTGAGGGCACATTTTTAAAATATTGACCATTATATAGGGTATGCCAATTTCGACCTACATATCAAAGTTGTGATTTTTCAAATGGAATATCTCAAATTTTATTGCATATTTGGATAAACCAATTTAAAAGAAGAAAATTGATATAACATACTATGGAGTTTTGGTAATTAGCTACTGAGATATAAGGTGTTTTGTCTGGAAAAACCCGCCACTTCGGCAACCCATCAGTTCGCCATTTTGGAATCTAGAGGGCTGAATTTTGTATTAAAAACACCTCAGCTTTTATCTTATTTGTTACTTTTTCGAATTTTCATTTTTGCTCATACAGGGTGGACAAAAACGCGAATTGTAGTTTTTCTCAAAAATTTCAAATGCATCATCCTGTATTTTGGATTCAATTTTTTATAAGCTTTTCTTTAGTATAAGGTTTGATTCAAATGAAATTACCAGATTTTGCGTTATTAAGCTTTTAATAGAACAACACACCAAAATTAAGGAAAAAATCACATCATCCATGGAAACAAAAGACAAAGAGTGGTCTAGTTGCATATTGCCACTAAAAATACAGATTTGACGTGAAAACTAATAAAAATCAGAACAGTATAAATCAGCTTCATACTATGTCATATCAATCTTCTTCTTCTGAATTGATTTATCACAATATGCAATAAAATTTGAGGCATGTCATTTAAAAAATCACATTGATATGTAGGTCAAAATTGAGCCGTCCTGTATAATTACCTATATTTTAGAAATGTGCGCTCAAATGTCATGTATAACATGCCATAAATAGATTTTCCCAAAATGTATTTGTTAATGAGTAATATTCCGTCCACACATGGTTGGGCCACCCTGTATATCTAGTCATGCTGGATATGTTTCACTTTGCATCATATTCACATTTATTGTGATATTTTAACTATCCTACTTTTCCTTTGACATCCCTGGCGAGCTTTTTGTTTGAAATTTGACTAAATATACTTGTATTAGGCACTTTTAAAATTTATTGTTTTACAGATTCGTTTGATGTAGAAATACTATGCAACATTTCATTTATTGTTTTCATATTTATGGAGAGATGAACGAATAACAAAGTGTGACTGTTAAACTTTTCCATTACATTTCGCTTTGATCCGATGTATCTGTATCTAGCAGTCCGTCCGCAAATCCGTTTGGTGTTCACTGTAACTTTGCTCGTTAGGTATCGGCACTCTGAAATATTTGCGTACATTGGGAACGGTGTCGCGTATCAAAGTCGCACATCGGAATCCAATTTACAGGTAATGGCGTTCCAATCACAGAAAGCTGTTCCAAACCCCAAAGAGATACCAATTATCAAAGCCCTGCAAAGTCCACAGCGTTTCCCTGAATGCAACATTCTATTAGCGTCATCTGGTGCAATTGCATGTGTTTCCACGTAATCTTTTCATTCCATTCATTTATTCAAATGATACAAAAAATTGTAACACAGACAAAAAAATCTCACCATATAGCATGAAAGCCACTTCATGGACAAAATCGGTATTTAAGAAATCAACCATCATTGTTGTTACAATTGACACGGCGGAGAATTTCGCGATAGGACAAACCAACATCTCGATTTCACTCAAAGTTACAAGCGGTATTTAAAAAAATATAAGTTTATTGTGTGGAGTTGTAATTTTGCATCTATTTGGTCCAGCAATAATCGTATTTTTTTCATTTTTCAAGGAAAAAACAAACAAGAAAAATTCGATAAGTCGAGTTTTGTTGCGGGTTTTGCTACAGAAAGGTCCGTATATTGTTGGTTTTGCTTCCGAAATTGTATTTTTTTGTTTTTTTTAGTAAAACAATGCTTTATTAACAAAAATAGTGTTCTCTAGGAACATATTGTTATAATAATAATAAAGCTTATATAGGTATTAAACAAAAATAAAACTCCCTATGAACGTATGAAAAATATCGAAATTCTTAAAACAGTTTCTTCCTCTTCTGCGATTGCGGTTCTCTGTTGTCATACAGTAAGTACAGCGTTCCCAAAATTATGAAATCGTTTATCGCACACGTTATACAGGGTGGCGCATCGAAAACGAAACAGACGCATTTACTGGCAGCTCAGTTTTTTTTTTGGATAAACGCTCAGACCCGTCGATTTTGTTTTCGAGGGGAACACAAGTTTGCCAAAAAATCACGTTAACATGTGCAGCCCCCTGGGCGGGGGTGACACCAACCCTAAAATCCTAAATGGCAAGGGGGGGTCGAGTGATACCTTATTTCAAAGGTCTTTCAATTCCCTTTATAATGATGTAAAATACATGAACTTCAGTTCACAATTCTTTGTCGCTGGTCTTCTTATGATGTTTTGTTTTCGATACGCCTATATTGGAAATATACATTTATGAGATTTGCTTAGCGGTGCGCCTGTAGCCTGTCCAGAAAATGCATCGATTGATGCTCAAAGTCAATACCACACATCCCGCATTTCTTCCCGCGTATGTTTCAATTTATGTTGCTAGATTGGAATTTATTTAAGTCACAGAGCTTCTGCACTACGCCTAAATATGTTCAGCCTTGTATTCCTTTTCTTGTTTCGTACAAAGATACATTATCAAAATAATGTCGATCTAAGATATATAGTTTTTTCCAAAGATTTCAAGAGAGGTTTTTTATGTTTTAGTCATTAATATTATCACACTAGTTATTATAAATGCCACGTAATTCGTTTTTTCTCATATAACAAGATATTGCCTTTCTGAGGATTTCTGAGTACTTTCCATATTTTATTTCAAGTTGGCATTGAACAGATAGAAGACAATGGATGTAAGGAGCAATAATAGGATAAATTCTAGAAGTTCCACTGGGGTAGAAACATTACCAGCCCCAAATATCGTTTGCGCTCCCCCGCTCCTCCCCCCCCTTAGGCAAATTCCTGAATCCGCCCTTGATACAGGGTGTTAATTAAGTATGTATCATATTTTACAGACGATTCTTTGAGTAATTTTAAGACAAAAAGTTCATTAACATATGGTTTTCGTAAATTTCTTAAATATCCTTTATCTAATTTTGTTGTAATATAGCGATAATATTTATAACATTAAGGAGCTAATTGAATTTAGTAAGTGCAGTGGCGTCCAGAGCGTCATCTAAATGAATATATACTAAGTGACATATAAATCCGAACACCCAGTTTAAATGGTTTTATTTTAATAAAATTTTGTATAAATACTTAATGAAGCATAATAAGTAAATGATAAAAATGTCAAAATGATTGCACTGCTTTAAAGCCCTTTGACCTTTAATAATGTGTGGATGCACCCTGATGTGCTACGCATTCTCCAACGCGCCTAGGCATGCTTCTGATCAGGTGGTCAATGTCCTCCTGTCGTATCTCATTTCAGGCAACCACCAACTCCTCTCGAAGTGCTTCTAGAGTATGAGGAGGACGTTGCAAATTGAGCAATCTCCTACCCATCATATCCCACACGTGCTCAATTGGGGATAAGTCGGGAGATCTTGGTGGCCATGGTAACAATGTGACACCATTATGTTGAAAGAAGTCTATTGTGACTGTTGCACCATGTGGTCGGGCATTATCTTGTTGGAAAGTTGGATCTGCCAGGGTGTCAAGATAGGGTAAAAGATGGGGTTCTAGAACTTCGTGGATATAACGCTACGCGTTCATGTTACCTCTGATGAAGATTAAAGGTGACCTGGAACCATAAGCTATAGCACCCCAAATCATAACTCCAACAGTGTGATGAACATGTCTTTCAACAAAAAACTGTGGATTCCTCCTTTCACCACGTCGCCTTCTAACCCTGGCACGACCATCGTGCATGCCTAAACAAAATCGAGACTCGTCACTAAAGACAATACCGTTCCATTCCTGATCCCAGAGTGACCGTTGTCTGCACCACTCAAGGCGATTACGTCGGTGTTCTCGAGTTAAAGGGAGGACCCAGTGTGGCCGGTATGAAAACAAGCCAAAACTTCTCATTCGTCGGTAAACACTTCGCATGCCAATAGGTCTTCCGTGTTCTACAAACCATTCATTTGCAATGGACCTGGTAGTGGAGAAACGGTCCCTTAAGGCCAATAATCTTAGGCGGCGATCTTCACGGTCTGTTGTTCTACGGCGGCGTCCAGTGCCCCTTGCTCTTTGCGTACGGCCTTCTCGAAGCCATGCCTGACAACACCTAACCACAGTGTCTACACTTCTTTGCACTCTAATTGCAATTGCCCGAAAAGAAAATCCAGCTTCCCGAAGTCCCACTATACGGCCCCTATCAAACTCACTAAGTTGACGAAATCGTACAGGTCTCCGTACTCTAGGCATCGTAACCGATCGTAAAGGATGTGAAGAACCAAAATCAGCTAACGTTGATTCTTTACTGCGGCTGAAATATTCATTTTTAGAGCGTTAGTGAATTAAAAAAAAGCAGTATAAAAACCGGAATGTCCAACTGATAAGGCTGAAAATTTTTTCACTTGTTATTTACAGTAAGATAAATACATTCACCAACTTTTATTAAAATAAAACCATTTAAACTGGGTGTTCGGATTTATATGTCACTTAGTATATTTAATTTGCCAAAAGAAAATCATTGAAAAGGGTTTCGCCTAAGAATGGGCACTCTATTATCAATGAAGAGAAACTAAAATTACGGATAAGTGATAAATAGTAAAAGAAAGATTACGTGATTTTGGCACGTGACAATCTCTTTAATGTGTTTTTCCTGCCTCTGTTCTGATGCAATCATTGTCATCTTGGGATGATATGACGACTAAAGGTTGTTTGTTTAGCATAATACCCTACCTCGGGATCTGCGAGATATAGAGGCTATATCACGTTTAAAAATGAGGTTTTTAAGTCTTTTAATGAGAAATAAAAATAAATAAATTTTTTAATTTTCCGAATCAGTAAGCAATATGTTTTTGATTCAATTTTTTATGTAGTGTTTTAATCCACGAAGTTCTAGAACCCCATCTTTTACCATATCTTGACACCCTGGAAGATCCAACTTTCCAACAAGATAATGCCCGACCACATGTTGCAAGAGTCACAATAGACTTCTTTCAACATAATGATGTGACATTGTTACCATGGCTACCAAGATCTCCCGACTTATCCCCAATTGAGCACGTGTGGGATATGATGGGTAGGAGATTGCTCAATTTGCAACGTCCTCCTCAGACTCTAGAAGCACTTCGAGAGGAGTTGGTGGTTGCCTGGAATGAGAAACCACAGGAGGACATTGACCACCTGATCAGAAGCATGCCCAGGCGCGTTGGAGAATGCGTAGCATATCAGGGTGCATCCACACATTATTAAAGGTCAAAGGGCTTTAAAGCAGTGCAATCATTTTGAAATTTTTATCATTTACTTATTATGCTTCATTAAGTACTTGTACAAAATTTTATTAAAATAAAACCATTTAAACTGGGTGTTCGGATTTATATGTCACTTAATATATCTTTCTTTCTCAGCGATTCAGTATGGTGTTGACGATCACCAAAAAACTCTGTAGTTTTTCTCCGTTAGTTGGTTTCCTATAAAACATATCTTCTTCAAGGCCACTCAAGATACCTCCTTCTAGAACGTTACGTGTTCTGCGTGATTCGCTTTTCTTTTTCCGTTGAGGTCGTGCTGCAGGGGTCGTTTCGTCATTTTCCGGACTCTGGGATATTAGGCCCCAAGCGCCAATGCATGGACTAGCACCGTTTAACTTAAGTTTAGTCATTTTGGTTTAAGTGCTACGTCTTTCACTTTTTTATGGGAATTTGACCCTCAGCGGTAAGTTATTTTTTATATAACTTCGCACCACGTGCCTTGACGCGTTTCCTGATAACAAGGTTCCTTGACGAACAAAAAGCATGCTAGCGCTCACCCTTTTAGTTAGAAACCTTCCTTCCTTTTTTTTCAGGTAAAAAAACTGTTGATTCGTTTAGTTATTTCCAGAATTAGACCGTCGCTCAATACTCAAAGACCCATCTTTCCTCCGCCTAAAGGAAAGTCAACAGAGCCTATTCCTTTTCAGTTTTTCCAACAGGAAAACCCTTTCACCCTTAATTGATGTTTCCGTGTATCCCGTACCGCACTCCCTCGCGTTTCCTCTTCGCATAGGCACAAAATGGACATGCGACACCGCTTTGCATACGGTAATTGTCACTGCAGGCGGGATTAAAAGATGTCAAACGTACGCGAAAGAAGGAATTAGGAGTTGCAAACCGACGGTGAAAAAAGAGGCGTTTTACAAGTGAAAACAGAAGAGGGGAACGAGTTAATGACTTGTTTCACACTGAGACGACCGAGCTCGTAATTATGATCCTTTTTCCACCCAGGGTTGGGACTGTCCTTTACAAGGCTTATAGATCTTAGAAAAACGAGCAGTTTTTTCTGGTGTCATATACACCAAAGTATTAAAATT